GCGTTGTCAGCGGCCGCAGCCTACAGTTCTGGGCCCTGGAACGCGAAGGCCCCATGCGGTGGCCCTGAGCTCTCTCCCTGTCCCGGGCCCTGCACCTCCACTCGCACCCCACCCCTGAAGTCCAGACAAAGACCCCCTCCCCGTGCCCACCGGCCCGCCCAGCCCTGGACTGCGGAGCTCCAGCCAGAAGTGCTGGGCCGGGGCCTTTGGTGGAGTAAGAAGAGGGGGCAGGCTGCAGGCTCCCAGAAGCCAATTGCTCCCTTGGTCCCCTGGACCTTGTAGTTAAGAGTTTGCAAGCCTTGAATCTTAGAGTGCACGTTCAGCCCCCGTGGGGACCTGGCCTCTGGGCTGCGGCTTCCTGAGGCTCCACTCTACCAGCCACTGCCAGGTCCACCACACGCTGGGCAATGTCCAGGGCCCTGCCTTGGCCCAGCCCCTTCCCTCTCCCAGGGCTGAAGCTGTGCTGGCTGGGGGCTTTGGGGCCCCTTGGCAGAGGGTGTGGCTCATTCCTGTGGCCGCCTGTTCTTGGGAAACAGAGAGGCTGGCAAAGGGATCCAGCTCTGTGGCGTCCTGGGCCTGGCAAAGAATTGGTTGAAGCTCCAGCTTCCTGAGCCCCAGCCCCTGAGCCCCAGCCCCTGGTCCCCTGTTGGGGACAGTTTACAGTACAGGACAGGAGTGTTGGGACACCCTGGCCTTGGGCCTCCACGATGCGCTGGCCAGGCCCCTGCTTCTGCTGTCACAGGCTCGCAGGGTGTGGAGTGTCCCACACTGACCAGCAGAGTCAGAGATTAAGCTGCCTGAATGCTGCCTGCACACCCACACCCCAGGAGCTCATCTATAGCCTGGCCCTTCAAAGCGAAGGTTGTTTGTCTCCGTTTTACAGCTCAGGAAATTGAGGCCTACAAAGGTCAGGGGTATCAGCAGGGACACTCACCTCTCTGACTCTTGTTCCTGGGTGGGGTCCTGGTCTCCCACTTTCTGCTGGGGTGGAGACCTGGAGCATGGAATGAAGGGTGCAGAGAGTCTCTAGGGCTGGGTGCATCTCCCCTGCTGCAGAGCTCAGCTCCCCTGGCCATCACCACGGCCAGCCCAAGGTGGGCCTGGGGCCCCTGACATGGCAGGGCAGCCCTGTACCTATGAGGCTTCTGTTCTATGTTCTGCCAAGGTAAGGGTAGGACAGGCACAATGGGCCTGGGTGAGGGGTGAGCAGGAGTCTTGGGGCGGGTCTGTGAACACCTCTGGGCAGTGGCTCAGCAGAAGGGATCAGGTTCTCTGAGGAAGGTAGAGATTTCCTGCCTTTTGGGACCCAGGTGGTGCCAGGAAAGCACTTGGCACAGCTGCCCAGGACTGGCCCCACCTCTCCCCAGGGGCAGGTCCCCTGTAGGGGTCTCTGGACTCAGGAGGACCTCTGAAGGCCCTGGCCCCTCTCCCAGCAGAGTAGGGCCAGCTGAGTGCCATCCTTCCAGGGGATAGATGGGTGGGTGGGCTTCTTTATGCTGAGGGGTACCTGCCGACTGCAGCCTCTCTCATCAGCCAGCAGACCCTATGGACCACACGGCCAGGCTGTGGCTTGGGCTGATGGGCAGATGCCAGCAGGCCAGGAGGAGCTTCAGCAGTGCCCCTCTGGCTCTGGCTGGCCCTGGAAGAAGTTCCAAAGCTCCTCACCCAGACCATGTGATCAGCACAGGGAGACCCAGGAGCCAGAAGGCATGGTGGGAAGGGGGCCATGGGTGGTCAGGCAGGTGAGGGAAAGACAAGAGTAGTGGGCAGTGCCCAGGCTAGGTTTTCACTGAGGTTACCTGAATCCTCTGCTCACATATGCGGGGCCTGGGAGGGCTGGGCACCCTAACTGGCCTGTGGGTTCTCCTCTGGACTGGGAAGATGACCTGAAAGAACCAGGGCAAGCTACCTGAGTGGCACTGCCTCCTGTGGGGCTCTGCATTCTGCATCCCTATCTAAATGGACCAGACTGGCAGGGCCACTGTCTGCAAGGAGACTGAGCTTGGGCCTAAGATGGCTAGTCCTGCCAGAAGATTGCCCCTGGGGAAAGTGAGAGAACCTCAAGTGTCCCTCCCATGCCCTTTGCAAGCCAGCTTGTCTGGACTTCCCTGTCTTGTACATCCGTCCCATCTCACAGTTGTGTGAGCTCAGTGGCATGGCTGTGGGGGACAAGAATGTCCTGTCTCCTCAAGGCTGACCTTAGGGATGGACATTTGGGCAGCTTCCTGCCAGCCAGAGACCCCCAGCCTTCTCAAGGTGGTCTGGGTGGCCCTGGGCCTCCTTTCTGCTCCCTCTCTGTACTCCACCTTCAGTCTGGGGACAGCCCAGGACCCCAGCCTGTCTGGCTGCTGTCTGTGGCTTCTAGCTCTTGGGCATGGCCGTCGTCATCTGTGCTCTGGTGTTGGGCCTCTGAGTGAGCCCTGTTTTTCTGTCTCTCTGAACAGGTCTTCACACAATGAACTAGAAAAGCACAGGTAAGTGATCCCTCATTCCCCTGTGGCCCCATCTGCTGAGGCAAGGTTGTGGCCAGCCTGCTTTGTCCTGGGAGGGCTGCCTGTACCTTAGGTGTCTATGTCCAGGCAGTTTCAGGCTGGCAGGCAGGTGCACGGGCCCAGGCTGTGCTCTTGGACCCTCAGCCTGGGTCAGGGAGTTGGAACAGGGGCCCTAATGTTGGTGACAGTCGTGGCCAGCTTCCTGGAGGAGGAGATGGTGTGCTTTGGAGTATCTAAGCCCCTTTGGAGGAGTGCTCAGCCCTTGGCCCCCTTGGTTCCCCCCGCCCCAGGCCCCTGCCCACTGTCCTGTACATTCCAGGAAGGTATGCTAGAGTCTTGTACTGGGAAAAAACAGTGTTGGCCAGGAAGCCCCAAGGGTGGGACCTCTTCCAGGACTGAGGAAGCCCTAGCAGTGTTGGCCAGTAGCTCTCTTCTGCCCTCCACTCCTGCCTGAGATGGGTCTGTTCTTTCTTGCTTTCGCAGTGGGCAGGTCTGCACCCTAGTCTTGCTGAGAAGGTTTGGAGCTCAGCCACTTCTCCCCTCCCCTTCCCTCTTGTCTGTGCCCACGACACTGCCAACTTCCGTTCCCCCAGGATGTGATTTGGGCCTTTGTCTGGGTGGGCAGCTACAGGGATGGAACATGGTGTTCCCTGAGGGCTTGTACTTCCTGCATTGGTCCCATGTATTTGGGGGCTTCCTGTGAGGCTGTGGGGATGGGAGATGGTGCAGGGTAGGGCCTGGGGTTGCTCCCAGGCCGGAGGACATCAGCCTTGCCTTGACCAGGACCCAGGATCTAGGCAGGCACAGGGTTGCTCCGAGAGAGCTTCCTGGAGGGGGCAACTGACAGATGGGTGGTGCCTTGGAGGGAGGGTGGGGTGTGGTTACATGTGAGGAAGGACAGGGCTGGCCTCTGACCCCTGCAGCTGCCCCTTCACCTGGCCTCTGTCTCTACCGTCTCAGAGTCTGTGCTTAGGGCTTTCTGGGGCCCCTGTGAGATAAAGAAGGGATGGCTGAGCAGCCAGGAGGTCTTTGGGTGCTCTCCAGCCCAGTGCCAGGTCTTCTGGCCAAGGTTCAGGTGTGGGCAGCCTGGAGCTTGGGCCCCTGGCAGAGACTGAGCAGGCTTCTGCTGCTCTCCTGGCTGGCCGCTGACTGCAAGGGTGGCTGGGAGCTCCCCGAGGAAGGAAGGAAGTGCCCAGCCGGGCCCAGACACTGCCTCTCCTGAAGGTGCACACTTGCTGGGCCTGGCTTGGGCTCTGGGGCTTCCCCTTGTGGTGCTCTAAGCCGCCAGTCCAGTTCCTCCTCCCCTGAGCACCAGTGTGGACACGAGGCTGCCAAGGCCTGTGCTTGGCTGCTGCTTCTCCTGCGCCCGGCCCAGGCTTTGCTCTTAGGGTACTGAGTAGGGAGTCCTGGCTGTCTCCCTGGCACTCAATGCCCCCTAAAGGCCCAGCACATGTCCTCAGCGGAGCTGCTGCCCTCTCCCAAGCATGGAGCTTGGCTGTCCAAGGTGTGACCTTCCTGCTCTGGGTCCTCAGCTATTCCCATGGGACCACACAGGGAGTGTAAGTTAGCAGTAGCCAGAAGATGCAGGTGAACAGACAGGAGGGTGGGGTACTTGCTCTTTCCTCCATCCTGTGCATTTCCTCTCTCCGTCTTCTCTGGCAGCCTGGACTCTGCCCTCAGGTGCTGAGGAACCTAGCATGGAGCTCAGGGCTCCAGAGGGAGCAGGCTTTCCGGTGGGAAGCTGGGCAGGCTCCGTGCAGGATGATCAGGCTGTGCTAAAGAACAGACAGCTGCTGAGGGATGCAGGGGTCCCACAGCGCATCTGCCCCCAATATTTCCAGACATGGGGGTCCTTCAGGAGCCCCTTAAATGGGCAGGGACAGCCTTGGGTGATGGACGGAGGGCTGGCGTGCTGCAGTAACTGTAGGAAGGAGGGTTTGGTGTCAGCCCAGTGCTGCCTGGGCTGAGATGGGTGGTGGCCCCCCATTCCTCAGTGAGCTGTTGGCGGAGCCTGTTCCAGGCCCTTGCCCCAGGTGGCCTGTCACATCTGATGCCCAGGGCAGGGTGCCAGGATGACCTGTGCAGCCCAGGGCCCTGGCTGTGTGCTCTCCTGGTGTTGGGCCGCTTGTTGAGCTTTAAGCACTGCACGTGTGTGGTCAGGTGGCCTTGTCTGTGTCTTGAGAAATGAGTCTTTCTCAATGTTGTGCACATAGCTCCACAGCATACCACCCCAGAAATGCCCCTGGGATGAGAAGCACCCCCTGCTGGGGTCTGTGTCTCCTCCCTGGGCTCCCCATCCCAGAGCCTGCTCCGAGGTTCTGGCGCTGCCCTCTCTGTGGTGAACCTTGCTGAGTATGGTCTTTGCATCCCTGGGGTGTGATTTGGAGGACCTGAACCCTAGAAGTAGAAACCCGGGCCGATGGTCTGAGCCGATGTGATTTTGACAGTTGTGCCAAGGGCTCCTGTCCCATAGCAGACTGGTGTCCCCACGTGCTGGCCTAGGGAGTGCCAGCAGCCTTTGCATTTTGGCTGTTACAAAGGGAAAAATGAGTGTGTGCTTGTTTACGTTTTCATTTCCTTGATTGCTCATGAGATGGAGTCAGTTTTGTGTTAGATTTGCCCTTTGTATTTTGCAGCTTGGTGGTTTGTGTCCTTTGGCTGTGGTTACATGGAGGGATTGTTTTTCCTTTTGGTGTGTGAGCTCGACATATCATGGGCACATTTGTCTTTTACATGTATTGGGAATACCTTTCTGCTTTCGTTTGTTAGTTGTTGTTTTTGTTTTTTTCTTTTCTTGTACAGTTGTGTCCTCGGGTTGTAGTAGTAATCTGTGATTTTTTTTTTAAACACAGAAAACTGGAAAATACAGGAAAGCACAAAGCTAAGGAAATAAACGTTACCCGCACATTGCCCCCAAGATGTGGGCTTCCCACGCTTCACTGTGTCCCACGGAGTCTCTTGTATGCATCCACTTTTTATTTTTTCAGACATTTGGGTCACCTGTCACGTACTTGGGTCTGTATCCTGGCTTTTTTCACTTAACATTCATGACGTGGGAATGTAATACACTAAAATAGCAACGCAGTTGTGTACAGGTGATGGAATGTGAGGGTACTTTTATTCTTTGTATTCCTAAAATTTTCCTTCATAAAAGTTGTGTGCTGCTGGAGCAAGTCCTGAGTGGTAGGTATAGAAATTGCTGTGTCTGTGTAATGATTGGGCCAGGGGAGATCCCTGGCAGCATCGCCATTTGCAGACTTGGTTCTGTGGTGGCTTCAGGACGGTGGGGATCCGTCTCAGGAGCGTCCCTGCCACTGAGCAGAGAGCTCTGTTCCCCTGCCCCAGTTAGCGCCTCCTGCTCCTTCGGTTTCTGGGGGTGGGGGATATTTTCCCCTGGAGAAGAGGCCGAGGTTCTGGCACTGTTGGTAGTCTTGCAGCTGTGGCCCGGGGCCCAGAGCCTATCTAGCCAAGTGCAGCCTCCATCCTGTGCCCTGGAAGTTCTTCCTAAGGTCTGTTTCGGGTTAATCCAGAACCTCTGGCTCCCCAGGTATTGTGGGCTGGGCCCCTGGGCAGGAAGGTGTTTTGCCATGGAGGGGCGGAATGGATGCACTAGCAGGAAGTGACCCAGAATCACAGCCCCTTCTACCTCTCTCTGCACCCAGTGGCTCTTCCAGCTCTGGGCCCTAGGCTTCTCCTCTGTCCAGGAGGTGGCTGTCCCTGCCTACTGTCCTCCAGGGTGTTTGCAGGAATGAAGGAGGCTATGGGTTTGCAAGGGCTCCGCAGCTATGGAGCAGACATGGAAAGGGAAAAGCACATGTGGGTGCTGGCTGTGGCAGGGCTGTTGGGCAATAGATTTTTTTAAAGCCTGGAAACATATTCTATTCCCTGACTTGGCAGGCCTGCTCTTAGGAATTTATTCTAAGCGAAGCAAACTGGGTTTGGAAGCAGGGCTGGATGGGTCTGTGGAGCGTCACGTGTGAGCTGTAGGTGGGTGCATGTGTGCAGGCACAGCAGAGGTCCCGGGCCATTGCAAGACATCAGAGGGAAGCTCAGGGGCCAGCTTGCTGCCCCTCCCCACCCAGGGAAGGCAGCGTTTCTCAAGGGATCACGGCTCATGAACCCTGAGTATTTGGCTCCAATTTTGGGGAAAATGGATCCATCCCTATGGAGGTGGGGACAAAATCTGAACTGCAGCAGATTCCGAAGGGATTGCAGACTCAGGGTGGAGAGTCTGGCAGGTCCTCGGCCCTTCCTGCCTCAGCAGACTCAGGTTTCAGTGAGGATAGCTGCAACCAAGGACACTGTACATGGTGAGGTGGGAGGCCTAGATGTTGTCCAGGTCTTCTCGAGCTCAGGCTGGGCGTCACTTGGATGTGAGGCCTTGTGGATGCCACGGCCAGAGGGCTGCATGTGGCTAGTTGCTCCTCTGGCACGTGCCAGCCAGGCCGGGAGGGGGACCCTGTGGTGGGTTGAGTCTGTGCAGGCCTCGGTCAGTGGCTCCCACTGTCACCTCTGGCTTTGTCGCCTGGCCTGATGGTCCCATCTCTGGCTCTTTCAGACGAGCCAAGCTCAGACTCTACCTGGAGCAGCTGAAGCAGCTGGTGCCTTTGGGCCCAGACAGCACGCGGCACACGACACTGAGCCTCCTAAAGCGTGCCAAGATGCACATCAAGGTGAGCAGGCCCAGCCTGCCCCGTCCTGGCCAGCCTTTGACCCAAAGGCCCCAGAGGGAGTGGGGAGCCACCTAGGAGGTGCATGTTGGGGGGTTGTGCTGTTTTGTGGGCACAGCCACAGGAGTTGCTAGGGGTCGGGGAGGTAACTGGCCTGGTGATTGGAGGGTACAGTGTGTTGGATGGCTGACCAGGCTCCAGAAGGGGACTTAGGGTACACGTGACTCTCGTGGCCCTGGTCATGACTGGCAGCAGTTGTAAAGTGGGCTGGCCAGAAGGGCAGGAGCTCCCTCTGTGTCTCTGCAGAGAGGCCGACCAGATGCAGTACCGCTCAGGGTGTGAGGAAGGTAGGGGTGCTCTAGGGACTGAGGGAGATACTTCCTGGAGCAGCCCCCATGATCTTCAGGTCCTGCTGAATGGGGATCTGGGATGTCAGGGCTAGCCAGGGAAGACTTCTGTCCCCTTGAAGGGCCTACTCTGTGTCCCAGGCATGGGCACCCAGGCAGGGGTGACAGGGCTTTGAGAGAGGCACAGTTGGAGGACAACGGGAGGGCAGGTGCTGCAGGTACAGGCATGGCAAGGGCCCAGACTGAGGGGCAGGCAAGGCACAATGGCAGGGCTGTCCCCTGGAGAGGATGGTGCTAGCTGGGCAGCCCTGTCTTAGAGTTTTGGGTCCACACATGACACAGCCTGGCTGGGTGGGGAGGGTGCTCTGTGGCTGTGGCCTGGCTGGGCCGTATCGAGGTGTGGATCCTGCCTGGCCTTGTGTCTCTGCACCTGTGGGGGATGCCCCCTCCTGACCACGGGCTCACCATCGCCTCCTGTCCTATCCCTGTCCCCAGAAACTGGAGGAGCAGGACCGCCGGGCACTGAGCATCAAGGAGCAGCTGCAGCGGGAGCATCGCTTCCTGAAGCGGCGCTTGGAGCAGCTGTCGGTGCAGAGCATGGAGCGTGTGCGCACGGACAGCACCGGCTCCGCTGTCTCCACGGATGACTCAGAGCAAGGTGGGGCACTGAGGGGGACCCCGTGGAAGAGGAAGCACCTGGGGCGGCTCTGGGGACTGCTGCCTGTGAGGACCGACTTCGTCCTTCACGGAGGCGTGCAGGAGGGAGGAGCGGCATGGCCAGTGCCCGGGCTGCATGAGCACCAGAGGCCATTGGGCCCTGGGAAGTGCTGGCTCGTAACCGAGAGCTGCAGAGCAGAGCTGTCCCAGCCGCTGCCACTGTGGGGCTGGCTGGGCCCCCTCAGAGACCAGACTTCCATGAAAGGTCCTGGCGCGGAGGGCACCCACTCTGCTGTGCAGTGCTTGATGACTCCTCTCTGTTTCCCCAGAGGTGGACATAGAGGGCATGGAGTTTGGCCCGGGTGAGCTGGACAGTGTTGGGAGCAGCAGTGATGCCGATGACCACTACAGCCTGCAGAGCGGTGGCTGCAGCGATGGCGGCTATGGGCGCCCTTGCAGGCCGCCTGGCCGCCCCAGCCTCTTGTAGGCCCCTCGCCTTGTGCTTCCTGGCTGCCTGCCTGCCCAGCTAGACGTGGCAGCACTCCGGTCCTCCCTCAGCTGATGCCAGCCTCTCCTTGGCCCACTGCTGTGCCATGCTGGAAGCTCCAGCTGCTGCCTGCTCAGGCTGCCAGCCTCTGCCCTCCCCGCCCCACGGGCAGGGCCCCCTGCAGGGAGGCAGGGCCCGGTAGCCACCACCTGGAGCCCAGCGTAGCCGCCCACGTCTGTTCTCCGATTCTTAATCATTCCAGAAGTATTAAATGTCATTGCTGCAAACCTCAGCAGGCACTGCGTAAAGGGCTTCCTGACCACCTCAGGGAGCCCAGCTCCAATGCCGGATCCCAGGAGGAAGGAGTGGCCGGAGGAAGGAAGGGAAGTGCGCCTGGCAGTCGTCCTCGAAGCTCCTGAGGTGTAGACAGAGCAGAAGGCTCTGCACCAGGCGGGACTTGGGTGAGCACGCTGGGGCACGCGGGCGGAGAGGCCGAGCCGTCCCATGCCAGGCTGGGCAGCTTCTACTCTGTTAGGACCGGCAGATGGGCACACGCACCCAGGCCTGCAGCCACGCACACGCTTGCACGCGCAGACACGTGAGCACCCACAGGACAGATGTCCCGAGAGGCTGGCCTTCAAGGGTCACTGAGGCCAGTGCTGGCCCCCGCAGCTCTGACCGGTCTGCACAGGAACTGGGTTTCTCTTCCCTGCAAAGCCTGAGAAGGGCCAGGCCAGCAGCTGAGCCACTGGGTCCTTGGCTTTCTCATCTCCATTCTTCTCTCTCTTCCATTTCTTTTCACACTTTTTTTGCAGTACTGGGGATTGAACCAGGACCTTCACACTGAGCTACATCCCAGCCCTTTAAAAATTGTTTTTGTTTTGAGACTGGGTCTCACTAAGTTGCTGAGTTGCCTAGGATGGTCTTGAACTTGGCAGTCCTTCTGCCTCAGCCTCCCAGAACACTGGGATCACAGGCGTGTGCCACCACGCCCAGCTTCACCTCCCTTTCTTAAAAAAAAAAAAAAAGAAAAAAAGAAAAGCCACACTGCCTAGCAAGGCAGCTCCCTTTGAGGGACCTCACCAGTTCTGCCTGTGGCAGCCTCAGCTGGCAGAGGCTTTTCCCAAAAAAAACAAAACAGAAACATTTTTTAAAAAAAGAAAAAAGCTCTAAAGACTCTCACCAAGAGATGTGAGTTTGTACGCCTCTATTTCCTGTATGAGACTTTTGTACTCTATTTTCCTAGCTGTCATTGTGTCCTTATTTGCTGAGGGGTGGGAGTGACCCAGCGTCTCAGGGACCCGTCCTCTATCACGTTGTCATAGTGTGCCTTGTGCCCCGTCATGCCTTGCCCACTGCCACCAGCATGTCCCTTAAGGGACACAAGATGTCCAGCCCTGCCAGGCAGGTGCCCTCTGTGCCCTCCCCTCAGGCAGCTGTCCCAGCAGCCCTGGCTTCCTGTGTGTGGAGCCATCACTTGGCTCCCAGTATGACCTCCCTGCAACGGGTGGGTGTGGCCTGTGCAGCTGGGGACAACAGGTCTGCCTGCCAATCTGTAACCCAACTCGAACCCTGCTCTAGGCCAGGGCAAGGGCTCCAGGAGTCTGACGTCGGCAGCTGATGAGCACAGTGTTCTCTCTGGTTATGTGGCCTTTCAGTCCTGAAGTCCTTGTCCCCATGGGCAGGGACCACACAGCAATACTTGGGTGGTGGCCCAAGGGCTGGCACATAGTAGCACCTGCCATCCCCTCTGGTGTATTTGTAACCAGTTTCCATGCAGTGGGGAAAACTGTTTCTCTCTAGTTCAGACCGTGAACCCCCAGGGCAGTGGCCTGTAGAGACAGGATGGGTTCCCTGGAAATAGCTCTGGCACAGAACTTGCCCTGTGGGGGGCAGGGCCCTGGGTACAGCAGGAGGCGAGCAGGCCTGTGGTGAGGGTTCCTTCTGCATCTCAGCCCTGCTTGGGGATCAGCACCCAGGAAGGGGCTGTCTGCCATGTGCCAGAAACCCATGTCGAAGGGCCTGGAACTCCCAGGCCCCTGAGAGTCAGGAGTTTTCAAACCCTCAGCTTCCCTCTCTGTTCCCACTCCTCAACTCTGCCCCGCAGACTCCAGCCCCACATGGAGGACCAGAGTAGCCCCTTGGCCACTCTCCTGGCAGCTCAACCTGTGCCTGTTCAAGCCATGGCTCCCACATAGACTGGGGAGTTGGCCCTTTAGCTACCCAGGGGTGCTCTCGACCTCCCCCACTAGCAGGGGTGGCAGGGTGTCCACGGGTGGGGGCTGGTGCTAAGTTCCACATCCACACCTCCTCCCCTGCTCCCTGTCTTCTGCACAGGGAGGCCACTGTTGGTGGCCACTGTGACTAGAAAGAAATCAGGACCAGAGTAGCCATGGCCCACTTCCTCTACCTGTGCCCTGCCCACCCCCTGCCACGTGGTACTCAGGGCTAGGCTGGGGTTCCCACCTTACAGGGGCAGCTCCTCGAAGACAGGCCCTACCACCCAGCTGGCCTAGGAGATGGCGAGGTGCTTATGGCCACATTCCAGGACTGAGGGAGCCCCATGCCAAACTAGCCCGAGGGCTCCCTGCTCCTATCTACCCCCCACCATCCCTGCCTCTCCAGGGTCAGCTCACTGGGCCCCCACTGCCTGCCCAGAGGGTCCTGACCAAGCCAGCCGGCTGCCTGGGTTTCTGTCCAGGGCCTCGGGGCAGGTTCCATGCCAGAGTCTGGGACTGCACAGGGAGCCTGGTGCTGGGTGGTGGGCACAGTGGAAACCAGAGCTGAGAGTGAACGGCTCCCACCACCTCCTCCAGGTGGGGCTGTGCTGTGTCATTCTGTCATTGTAATATAAATACAGATTTTTATACCTCACCCTGGCTTCCAGTTCTTTCTATCACTTGGCTTTGTTCCCTTCCCCTTGCCCTTGGGGGCTGGCTTGTTGCCACCCTGAGAGCCCTGTCCTCTGGTGCTGGTGGAGAGCATGGAGACCCTGGCTCTTGTCGTGCCCTCATGGGAGTGTTTGTGAGACCATGTGCAGCGGGAGGACAGGCCAGAGTGACCCTGACTGCCCCCAGGGACTCCTGCCCATCTCTCCCTGGAAGCAGAGAGCCCTGACCCGAGGGCCCCTCCACAGAGACAGAAGGAAGGAGATGGGTGGCCAGGTGGGGACTTGCTGAGAGCATGGGGTCATCACCCTCTGCAGGTGGTCCCAGGGGACCCACTGGCAGCTTTTGGGGTGGGCATGGGAGAGGTGTTCCGAGAGCTCTGCCCCCGCAGGCAGTGGTAACTATGGGTTCTTGAACCTCGTGAGACCCCTGGGCCTCCGTGCAGCAGATGGGGCCACTTCTAGCAAAGAAGGGAACCCCTGCCAGGTCCCAGTCCCCCTGGGATCCCAAAGTGTAGACCAGGGTCGTGCCCCTCACCCCTCTTCCCACTGCTTTCTGGCTCAGGCCTTTTATGAGACTGTCCCAAGCCCTGGCCCCTTGGGCTTGCTCCTCCCAGCTCCACCACAGGGTCTCCTTCCTGATAATGCCGACCTAAACCCGCTCCTGCATTTGGGGACTGATTTTTGAACCTTTGTCACGTGAATATCAACACGATGGAAAACAAACTCAGTCTTCCCCCTTTCCCCTCCAACCCAGTGATCTAAGAAAGCTGGATCCCGAGGAGGAAGAATTTGACTTTGTCAGATTTCCCAGACCAAGGCCCCAGAGTTTTGCCCATGTAGCTCCCTCTGTCATTCCATTTCCTGTGTCCCCTGGTACCAGGTGTCTCTTCCATTTTTGTCAATTTTGTTACCGCAGAGTCAAGCTTCTAACACACGCCTGAAAAGGTCACTTTCCTGCTTCAAAACACCCCCTGCTCCCCATGGCTTGGAGAATAGAGTCCTACCACCCACGTCCACTGAAAACTGCATCTGAAAACAATCGTTAATATTGCACCGTTACTTGCAAAGTTTAAAAATAGTTGGAAAAGACATTGTTCAAAACCTCATATACTATTTAATATTCATAGGAAAAAGGCTTCCATCGTGCAGACAGCAGAAACACTCACCCTCACATCCCTGGCTGGTCCACAACACACCATGGGCTGGCTCAATGAGGATAAACCCCTGGGTCCCTTTATCTTGTGACACCACTAAAACCCCAGCTGCGTTTGACTGGAAGAAAGCAAGCTTGTCTTGGAAAGAAGTATAACATGTTTGTCTTCTTAAATTCCAAATACAACCTCAAGAACCCTTTCCAGGTCTGTAGAGTGGACCCTATTGTGTTTATTATTTGTACTGGAAGGGCAGATACTGTAATTTTTACTTTCTGTCTTTATGGCTTTTTTATGGCCTCAGAAACACCTTTCAAACATGTAACTATGGTCAGCAATTCCAAATCAGAATTTGTGGGCCGAGGAAATCACCCAGGAATCATTAAGAAAAGCAGGCTTCCATGAGGGGCGCTGGTTGCACCCTCCCGCTCTGGGATCTCTTCCTCTGAAGTAGCCCCTTGTCTTTCTGGCATCTTTAATTCCGTCTCCTCCGAGTTCCTCCTCACAGTCTATAAATATCCCCAAGTTCCTCCCATTTTAAAACAAAACAAAACAACCCAAAAATCCTCCCTTCGGTCTTGGTCCCGCATTCCGGTCCCCTCGTCTTGTGTCACTTGCCCCCCCCCACCCCCGCTCCCGCTCCAGTTTTTGCCTCCTCAGCGAAATTTCTTCAAGGCGCAGCCTGTATGGCCTCCACTTCCTCTGGCCAAAACCACTCAGCTCCGGCTCCCTGCTGCCCCCAACTTCCAGCCACAGCCAATAGGGTCCTCCTGGTTCAGTCCCCCTGGATTCCATTACCCCCCACATTTGTTTTCAGATCACTTTTAGGCTTTGCTGACTTTTAAAAGAGGATAAAAATAAAACAAGAATTACTAGGAAGTATCTCTGACTTGAGTGCAATTCACAGTATCTGTCCAGGAACACTTATTTTTTCTTTCCTTAAAAACATTAAGAAAAACAATGGAGAAAGACCTATCCCTAGTCACACTGGATTGGGGCATCATCTGACAAGCCACCTTGGGGCCATTTATCACTGGGGGAGGAGAACACCGTTCACTAATGACCAAAGCCGACCGCTTGCAAGTTTAGATTTAACTTACACAAGATTGGTGAGTTGCAAGTGATTTTTGTCTGGTAGAGATGCAAACGGATTCTGTTCGGTACAAATACATTCTGTCCAATAAAAACGATAAACCAGGGCTCTGGCTTCACGGGACTGTGGGCATCGACCAGATCTGCGTTAAACTTGTCTTTTTTCAGCATTTTCTTTCACTGCCTATGTCATTTCTGCCCTCCGCCGTCCTGAGTTAAATGCATCCTTGACACACAGCACTCCTTGCTCCTGTGGATTATACTTTAACGTTTTGGAAATGTGCAGGCGAGGAGCCAGCTTTTGCTCAGCGGTCAGGTGAGGGCTTGGGGGTTAAGTGCTATGCAAAGCAGCGTCCGTCCGGAGTCTCCGGCGAAGCTCGCTGACCCTGCAGACGTGCCAGGCAGTGCTCGGGCTGGGCTGGCGTGTGGCCCGATCGCTGGCACCGTGCCGGGTCACGCGTCAGAGCGGAGCAGGCTGGGTTCGCAGGGCTGCCGGGTCTGTCTTTCGTTCCTCAGAAGTGTCGCGAGAGCATTGGGACTCTGGTCGAACAGAGGTGGAGGCGGGCGCCGAGTCCCAAACACACAGGGTCCAAAGATCTGCAGACGCCAGACACATGCCCGGGCTGGGCGGGGCGAAGGCGGGGTCTTCGCAAGAGAAGCCAATCAGATCGTTCTTTCAGGGAAGGTGCGGCAATCGCTCGGCTCCAGCCGTTTACGACCCGTGTGCCCCGACACCACGCCTGCGCGAATACCCACTTCGTCGCCCCGCCCCCTGTGCGTGCGTACTTGCCGGCGCTCCCGTGAGGCAGCGCGAGGCGCGCGGAGCTCTGGCGGCGTCTGTGAGGGATCTGGCGGGAACATCCTGAGGTGAGAAGTAACGCCTCGGGCCCGGTTGTGGGGTGTGCTGCCCGCGTACTCTTTCAGGAGTGCGAGCAGCAGTCCACGTTGCCAAGAGCCTGGCATCCCGTGGCAGGGGGCGGCCGCGAGTCTGGACCCGGTCTCTGAGGGGCCGTCGTGCGTCCGGGAGTCTGACAGCCTCTCCTTCGCCTGAGGTCTGTCAGTTTGCGCCCGGGGTTGAGGAGGGGTGGGTGGTGTGTGTGTGTGTGTGTATATTTTATCAACACGCACAGGTATCATAACGGACTGCACCCCCCAAAAAAAATCCAGACAAGAAAACCCAGAGATTTCGGCCTCTAGGGTGTCTGGAGCATCGCGACCTCACGGCCGTTCTGCGGACCTGGTGCAGGCCTAGCAGCCCCGGCTCGGCGTCGGGCTGTCTGCGCGCATCTGCGGGAAATAACAAGGCCTGAGCACCTTGCTGGCTGACTGCTGGGTTCTCACTCCCCAGGCCTGGCTTCCTCCGCGCTGCATCGGGGATTCCTGGAAGTTTGGCGGATGTTCATTGAGACATCGGGGTAAATATTAATCCTTTTTATTAAACCATTGGTTTTTTTTTCTTTTTTCTTTTTTTTTTTGTACCAGGGATCTTGTGCATGTGAGACAAGCGGCATAACCACTGAGCTAAATCCCTGGCCATTTATATTTTCTTAATGTGAGACTGGAAGGCAAAAGGGGCTGCTTAGCTACTTTGTGGTTTGGGTTTGGATCCATTTACTTTGAATCAAATACAATCCTAGTGTATTTGAAACTATTTCATCTTTGGGGAAAATAAGATTTTATTGTTACTAGGTTTTCATTTCTGTTGCAGTTTTCTGAGAAACACCCTGATTATGTTTCCCTTTATCTTCATCAAACATTGCAGCTATCACTACATTTTAGTCCACTGGCTCTCAAATATCATGTGATATTATCTGTATCTTCCTTTTAAAAATACGTTCACTTAATTTGTGGCCTAATACTTGTTTTCTTCCCCTCTAGGAGGAGCCATTATAGATTCTAAAAATATTTTCCCATTTTCTGTGGGAAAAAGTCACGTAGAAGTTTTGTTACTGTTTGGATTTATTTGGTAAAAATCAGCACCATAAACTCCTATCAGATACCAAAAAAACAGAAAGAAAAATAAAACTAGGGTAGCTAAAGCATGAGTTGTGGAAATGAGTTTGTGGAAACATTAAAAAAAATTGGTTATCCTAAAGCTGATATTCTTAATGGAGAAGATTTTGACTGGCTGTTTGAGACTGTTGACGATGAATCATTTTTGAAATGGTTTTGTGGGAATGTGAGTGAACAGAATGTATTGTCAGAAAAAGAGCTGGAAGCCTTTAGTATTCTTCAGAAATCAAGCAAGCCCATCCTAGAAGGGTTAGCATTGGATGAAGTTCTTAAGACTTGTAAAACTTCTGATTTGAAGACACCTAGACTGGATGATAAAGAATTGGAGAAATTAGAGGATGAGGTTCGAATGCTGCAGAAATTAAAGAACCTAAAAATTCAGCGACGTAATAAATGCCAACTGATGACTTCAGTATCTAGCCACAGATCTCTGAGGTTAAATGCTGAACATGAAGAAACCACTAAAAAACTGAAGCAGAGTCAAGGAGTTCTGAATGTTACGAATACCAAGCTCAGTAATGAACTTCAGGCTCTTACTGACAGAGTTACTAAATTGATGATGTTCTTCAGACATTCTGATTTCAGTCAAGAGGCGAATTGCATGGTGTTTTTATCTCAGTTTTCCTTGGAAAAATATCTAAGCCAAGAAGAGCAAAGCACAGCAGCATTAACGTTATATACCAAGAAGCAGTTCTTTCAGGGTATACATGAAATAGTTGAAAGCTCAAATGAAGAAAATTTTCAACTTTTAGATATACGAATGTCATCTATATGTGATAATGAGGAAGTCCTTGAGGAGAGACGACTAGAGATGGCTAGACTGCAGCTAGCATACATCTCTGCTCAACATCAGTTAATTCACTTGAAAGCAAATAATCTGAGTATGAAGTCGAGTATAAAATGGGCAGAGGAGAATCTTCATAGACTAACCAGCAAGGTAAATATAAGAAATGAGACTGGATTCATATTGTAATTATTGTTAGGAATGTATGATTGAATATTAAAGTACTTTAGAAAGGAAGATTGAATAAGGTATTATACTTTAAAAAATTTTTCTTTGTTGCTTATTTGAGTTAGATGTATCAGTGTTTCATATAAATAGGTTCTTGTATTAATGGAAAGAAGAAATGGTAATAATTCTGTTATCTATTTCTAGATACCTAGATAATTTACATTATCTGTTTTAAACAAAAATACTTACTTGCATTCAGAATTTGAAACTTCTATTAATTCAGATAGAGACTGAATAGAAATTTCCTTTTTGAAAAGTATGGTAAAAAGACCAGTTGCTTTATTATCAGTATTTTGTCTTGTTTGCTGTGAAGTCGAAGGTGCTAATGAAGTTGAAGGTCCAGGTTCAGTAGACCAAATCCCTGCTACTTTGTTGAATGTGTCTAGATGTATTATAGATGTTGGAAGCTTGTTTTTCTAGGGAATGTAAACCACTACATAGTTGAGTAAATGTAATTTTTCTGAGTCTGAATACCAACATCAATTCAGTTACTACATCTGTCACATAGTTTGAGACCAGCCTGGTCTACGTAGTGAATTCCAGATCGGTCTCAACTACATAGAGACCCTGTCTCAAAAAACCAAAAAAAAAAAAAGAAAAGAAAAAAAAAATTTTTTTTGCTTCAGATTTTCAGATAGGGACAATAATTTGGAACAATAAATAAGTCTTGGGCTGGGGATTTAGCTCAGTGGTTCCTGCCTCACAAGCGCAAGTACCTGAGTTTGATCCCTGGTACAAAAAAAAAAAATGTTCTGTATGTGTATGCTAAAATAAAATTAAAATGACTAGCAATATACCTACTGAGATAGTGTTAATTTTGAAGGAAAACTTAAGTAGCATTTATTTGCATTTCATTGAATAATGTGCTATTAGTGTTTTTGATTAAATTAAGCATGACAAAAATCACTTATTTTGGTAACCATGTATGTACTAGCATTAAAATTTAGTGTTTCATACTGACCTTACTCCATACTTTTTTTTTTTTTGCTTTTTAAACTGTAATTTTGGCTTATGCTATATGGAATTAGTTTTTATTCGTTGGCATATAAGTTGGTCACGTAAAGTAGAAAGCAAAAGTAATTTTAAAACTAAGTTTAAATGTGTATTTTGAAGTGTAATTGTTTTTGTTTGTGTAGGCTGTTGTTAAAGAAAATTTGGAGGCCAAAATTTCTAACTTGAACAGTGAGATTCTGAAACTTGAAGAACGAATCACTCATATAAAAGATAAAAGTTTGCCTGCTGTGGTAAAAGAGAATGCACAATTATTGAATATGCCAGTTGTAAAGGGAGATTTTGACCTGCAGATTGCTAAACAAGATCATTACACAGAAAGACAAGAGTTAGTTTTAAATCAGTTAATAAAGCAGAAGGCATCATTTGAATTTGTACAATTATCATATGAAATTGAATTGAGGAAGCATTGGGACACATATTGTCAATTTGAAAAACTAGTTCAAGAACTTAGGCAAAATAACAAGGTGCTCTTCCAGCGATTAGAAATGTTAAAAGACCCATCAATTTGTCAGCAGAAAAATCTAAGGAATACCATCGATACCAAGGATTATTCTACTCAAAGGTATTTATACTTTGTTGCTTCCTTAATAATTTTGTTCTTTTGTTTTTGTGAAATACTAGGGAGAGTTTGAACTACAATCTGGAAGTTTAAAAAAACTGTACTCCAGTTCTGTCCTTTTTATTCTTTTCTACTTTTATATGCCCCCTTTGTTTTTTCTTTTTAATTTTTGTTCCCAGCTGGGTGTGGTGGTGCATGCCTGTAATCCCAGCACTCGGGAGGCTGAGGCAGGAGGATTGCTGTTGAGTTGGAGAGCAGCCTGGGCTGCATAGTGAGACTCTGTCTCAAAAACCAAAAAAAAAAAAAAAAAATTTCTTTTTTTTGTTCCCTTTTCAGTCTTGTGAGATCTGAACATAGCTACTTTAGAGCTAAGGTGGCACCCCCCCTTTAGGCACCATTATTTAGATACATTATTTTAGATTTAGGGCAGGAAGTTTGATTATAGATTTGAATAGTATTGGTGGTCAGGAAAAGGTAGTAGAGTGAAAACTTCATTTATGTGTCTGGTCTGGTGATTATTGAGGATGAGTACATCAGCTAATCTTGTCTTAGTAAAGAAATGAGGAACTTAGGGCTATTTCATTGCACAGTTTCAGGGAGTGCCGTCATGATCGTGAACTATATGAATGATGCCACCTGGAATTGTATAGTTATATCCCACAGACCTTCATTGGCAGCCTTGGACTTGAACCATTTTTATAGCCTTTTATAACTTGTTAAAAAATGTATGTGTGTGTACATATTTTAATATAAGAAAAGCAGTTTCAGGTATGTGTAAAAGGTATTACCTCAGATTTTTTTCATCTGCCCTAAGGCTTATGGTTTTTTCCTGCTGGTAATGTTTGGAGAGCTAACATACCTCATGAATGTTTTAGTTTACCAGCCAAATACTGACAAGATTGGAATAAGGAAAGTTTACTGTAGCCATTTATATTGTTCTTTATTGTTCATTTTTTTACATTATTTTCATCTTTGGTTTTTTTCTCTTGTCTTTTTCCATAACCCTGTAAAATAGGTAGGTATTAAGATACAAAAATTAAGACTCAAAGATTGATTTCCCTGCCCTCTCACTTAATAGAGAATTTAGTCCTAGGTCTTCTGTTTTAAGTTTATTGCTGTTGCTATTGTTTTGTAGATGTGTTCTGTGAAAGGAGTGTTTTCTTAGGAAGTATCACTAAAACACACTGTTAAAAGTAGCTTAATGGGAGTTAAAGCTAAGAAAGATTTTATATCTTTAACTTGAGAATGGAGAAACTAGGAATTCAGATACAGTAGGACATTTCTGTACTGAAATAGTCTTGTTGAAATATTCAGTTGCTTGATTTTAGAAACACACAAATTTTTTTTTTTTTGGTTGTTATTTAGCTATCTCCACAAATGTTCCACTGTAGTGAATTATAATTTTGAAAACTGTACTAAGTTGACAACTTCTTCCTTATAATTTTTATTTTTATATTTTAGGCTTTATCAACTTTTAGAGGGAGAGAATAAGAGAAAAGAATTGTTTATAACTCATGGGAACCTAGAGGAAATGGCTGAGAAATTGAAACAGGATGTTTCTTTAGTACAAGATCAGTTGACAGTATCTGCTCAAGAACATTTTTTATTTCTGTCTAAACTGAATAATAATGTGGATGTTCTTTGTGATGCTTTGTATCGAGGAAGAAATCAGCTTTTGCTTAGTGATCAGGTGGGTATTTGCCATAGTTAAAATGTTTTAAAAAATAATGTTCAGCCAGGAATTTAGCTCAGCGGTTCGGTGGCCTGCCTTGCAAGCGCAAGGACCCAAGTTCAATCCCTGGTACCAAAATAATAAT